AAAAGTTTAGGAAATCTAAGTAAATTCCGTAAGTTAAAAAAAATCTATGTTCACATGTAGAATTAGAATGCATTGTGCATTCCATAGGTAATAATCCTTTGAAATTGCATTACAACATCTGGAAAAGACATGTTTATTGTTATCTCTCTGCTGTATATACAGTGTACCTCTACATTTTGGAAGTTAGAAAAACTAGAGGAATCTGCCTTAAACCAAATGAAGTTATTAGTCCATCTAACGGCTAGCCCCTTTTTTCACACAGGACAACAGTTGGTCCTTTGTATTCAAGGATTCTGCATCCATTGATTCAACCATGGATGCAGTGTGTGTGTGTGTGTGTGTACATATATGTGTGTGTGTATTCATTCCAAAAAAGCAAACCTCGATTATGCTATTTTATATAAGAGACACAATTTTACTATACCCATTATGTGGAATGGAAATAGAACATTAATGGATTTGAGTATCCACATGGAGTCCTGGAACCAAACCCCTGCAGATACCAAAGTCTCATTGTGCTTTATGTAGAACCTTGTGAAAGACTTGATGGAGTAATTGTTTCTTCTTTTATCTCTACCTTTCCCCTCCCCCTTTTTGGTACATGGTTAGCTTTGAAATACACAGCAGTTTTCTTTGTTTTTCTTTTTGCAATATCACTTAACTTGATGAGACTATATTGCTGTCTGAGATGGAGAAAAGCCAAGGTTAACAAAACTGTCAGTTAAAAGTGTCTCTGCCTCACTTGAAACCCATATCCTAAGTATAAGCATTTCATGGCTATCAGATATGATCTTGAATTCTTGTTCCTGTCCTACTTGAGATAGGTTTATTCAAGTGTATCTGGAAGCAGCACTTAAGGTAAAAAAAGGTGCCATTTAGAATAAGAATAAGGTTTGATTGCATATTTGCGTAGTGAATAATGCAGCTTTTCAGAAACAGCTACTTGATGTTTCTAACATAGCATCCTGGCTTGCTAATTTATAAATCATCCCAGGGGATAATTCTTGCTTCCTAGGGACCTTTGGTATCAACATCCTTCCCTTCTTTGAACACTTTCTTTGCCTCAGTCTTCTCCAAAAAGCAAATCAGTATTCAACCAGAGCAATATGAGGTGGATGAGGCAATATGGGATATGCAACCCCAAATAGGTAAATAAATAGTCAAGGAATACCTGGACATAATAAACAAATTCAAGTCTCCAGGGCTAGATGAACTATATCCAAGAGTATTGAAGGAACTAGCCGAAGTAATTTCAGAACCACTAGCAATAATCTTTGAGAATTTTTAGAGAACAGGAGAAGCCCCAGCAGATTGGAGAGGGCCAATGTTGTTCCTATCTTCTAGAAGTGGGGGGAAAGGGACCCAAACAATTACTGTCTGGTCAGCCTGGTATCAATACCAGGAAAGATTCTGGAGCAGATAATTAAGGAGGAAGTCTGTAATCACTTAAAAAGGAATGCTGTGATTACTAAAAGTCAACGTGGATTTCTCAAGATCAAGTCATGGCAGACTAATCTCATCTCTTTTTCAATAGAGCTACAAACTTGGTAGATGTCGGGAATGCTGTGGATGTAGCATATCTTGATTTCAGTAACGCCTTTGACAAGGTCCCCCATGACTTTCTTGCAAACAAACTATTAAAATGTGGGCTAGGCAATGCTTCTATTAGGTGAATCTGTAACCAAACCCAAAGGGTACTCACCAATAGTTCCTCTTCATCCTGGAAAGAAGTGGCTAGTGGAGTGCTGCAGAAATTGCTCATGGGCCCAGTTCTGTTCAACATCTTTATTAATGACTTGGATGAAGGTTTAGAACATGTGCTGATCAAGTTTGCAGATGACACCAAATTAGAAGGGATAGCTAATACTCCATAGAAGAGGATCAGAACTCAAAAGAATGGATTAGAGTCTTGGGCTAATACTAACAAAATAATTTTAACAAGGACAAATGTAAAATACTACACTTAGGCAGAAAAAATGTACATGTGATAAAGATCTTGGAAACTTTGTGGACAACAAGTTGAACATGAGCCAACAATGTGATGCAGCAGCTAAAAAAGCCAATGGTGTAGTGTCTAGATCGAGGGAAGTAATTGTGCTTCTGCTTTTGTCAGATCTCACCTAAATTATTGTGTCCAATTGTGAGAGATTTGGACATGCTGGAAGGTGTTCAGAGGAGGGCAACTAAAATGATCAAAAGTCTGGAGACCATAGTCTATGAGGAGTGTCTTAAAGAGCTGGATCTATTAGACTGCAGAAGAGAAGATTGAGACATGAAACCCATGTATAAATATGTGAAAGGATGTCATGAGGAAGAGGGAGCAGGCTTGTTTTCTGCTGCCCTGGAGACTAGGACTCAGAGCAATGGGTTCAAATTACAGACAAGAATATTCCACCTGAACATTAGGAATAACTTCCTGATCATATGATCATATCAGCAGGGGATTCTCTGCCTTGGAGTGTAGTGGAAGCTCCTTCCTTGGCGACTTAAACAAAGGCTGAATAACCATCTGTCAGGGGTACTTTGATTGTGCTTTTCCTGCATGGCAGGGGGTAGGACTAGATGGCCCACGTGGTCTCTTCCAACTCTATCCACCTCATCACATTCAGAGGGGAAAGCATGGGTGACTGTCCGTTTAAGGGAGAGAATCACCCCCTTTGGAGTTCTGCCTCCCCATCGGGTCTCACATGTGGAAACTTGAGAGCTGCCAATACATTAATCTTAAGGTTATTATTATTATTATTATTATTATTTTAATCAGGAGAAACAACAGTATCGAAAAACCAAGAGATCCCTTGCCCTTCCCTTACATTAAAGGAGACTGACACCAGTTTAAAACTTATTATTTCTATGGGATCCTATGGTTCCACCCCAAACCCCATAGAAAACAAGAGCCAGTGCTCCAGGTTAAAACCATTGCTTTCCATGGGATCCTATTGTTCTTCACCAAACTCCATAGGATACAAGAGACAGTGATCCAGTTTAAAACCATTTGTTTGCATGTGATCATATTGTTCTGCTCCTAACCCCATAGGATACAACAGACTGGTGACGAGTAATGAAATAGGACAGGAAACTTTTGATGGTTCCCATCCGACCTCTTTTTCAATTGTAAAGATGAGCGTAAAGTGTGATAAGAGGTAGGAGCTCTGAACATGATTGCTGGCCCATGTTTAGAGTTCCCTACTTTCAGGACATTTCTGTCTCTTTTCAACCCTGGAAGTACTTTGGCAACATCATGAGAAGACCAGAAAGCTTAGAGAAGACAGTGATGCTGGGAGAAATTGAAGAAAAAAGTAAGAGGGGCCAACCAAGGGCAAGATGGATGGATGGTATCCTTGAAGTGACTGGCTTGACTCTGAAGGATCTGGAGGTGGTGTTGGCCAACAGGGAGCTCTGGCGTGGGCTGGTCCATGAGGTCACCTAGAGTCAGAAGCGACTGAACAAATAAACAACATCACATGTCATGATCTCCATGCCTTTCCATGCTTGAAAAGAGGCTGTAGTTTGCTACGAGAGGGAAATTTCTCAGTGTGATGAGGTCAGATTGCTGGAGTTCCCTCCTTTCAGGACACTTCTGCCTCTTTTCAACCAAGAGCTATGCATGGCAACCAGAAGTAGTTTAACTCATGTGATGAGCTCAGTGCCTCTCCATGCTTGAAAAGAGGCTGAAGTGTCCTACGATTGGTAAATTTCTTAATGCGACAAGGTGGTAAGATTCTGTGATTCTGATTTCTTGACAATAAGCTTGGTTTTTATTTATAGCAGCCAAGGCATAGAAAAATGTGAAATCTTTTGATTTCTTCATCACCGCTTTCAAATTATATAAATCCCCCAAACCTCACACTCAAATTTTCCTTAAACATACTTAGGCTCTCAACTGCTTTAAAGCATTCAACAAAGAGAGGGATTAATAGTGTATGAGTTGCCAAAATTTTATTTCCTTTTTGTTTGTCAGTGGATTAACTTTTCATGTTGTAGCTTGTCCTGACTGGTAGCTTAAGCTTTCTATGATATTATCAAGATGATTGAAGCCATCTTGGTTAAGAAATTCTAATATATGCTGCAACAGTTGAAACAATTATCTGATTTTACATTTTAAAACTACAGAAAGTTAATGAATTCTACATATCACTAATATTTAAAGGAATGTATTCAGTAAGTAATGTATCCATGTGACCTGAACCAATTATTCATCTATGTGATGGCACGCCTGAGCCTTTGGGAAAACTATATTGTCTGGCTTTACTCAGGAGCTATCTGATACCTTCTGTTAAGATTAAGACCCATAGCAGACTGACGCACTTTGAAGCAATGTGAAAAGATAACCAAATGAGTTTACTGAAACAAGCTGAATAAAGGATTAACTCCACCCAAGATTACCATATGATAACTTAAAACAATGCATTACAAAAGGAGAACTTGCTGTTGCAGGCATCTTTCTAGGGTCTTTGAAAGTCTATTTTTCCTCTGTTGCTAAAGCGATGGTTATAAACTGCCTTAATCTTATTTTCTGTGAAGTTTGGCTGGCCAAAAGCTTCTGCTGTCCTTTGGACTGATGGTATAAAATACTGCTAAATGCAGCAGCAGGAGAAAGTGCTAAGAATGCCAGTTTTGAATTGCTAGGCCTAAGATTCCATACAATATCCAGGCCTCTAAGGCACTACTTCAGAAAAGAGGAGGAGTCCAGCAAAGAGCTCTGTGGTGTTTTAAGCTCCACTCAGAAACTAGTACAAAGGAAGGTCTACACTATGGGAAGGCCTATAAAGCAGAAGAGGGGAAGGCAGAAGCAAGACTTCACAATCTAAAATATATTAAGAATCTATAGCTTACAATTTTGCTCTTCCAAGAAGCCATAGTGTGAATGAATTTTGTTGATAACAATGAACTGTAGTAGATAGGCCAATAGTTTAAATCTGTATAAGCTGATTTGGTGCATTCCACTAGCATCCCTTTGAACCCTAGTGTGCACTGATTGTCATTTTACTTTCTAATTGCAGGAAGTGGTTCAATTTCTGAATTCTTTCGTATTATGAACCGACAGTTTACAGAGGAAGAATGGAAAACAATCAAATCCATGGATAACGAATGGCTTCAGTTGGACCTGTTTCATAGGCACTGGGTAATAGATTGTTCTAATTGAAAAATGTTTCTTGGTATTTGTAATCTAATTAGCATAGTTCCAGCACAAAAAGACCAATTTGAACATATTTTATTTAGAGAACATTAATCTTTAATGAATTACATTTGCTTTGGAAACCATAGCAAGTTCAGTGAAGATATCTTTGTGTGCCGGGAGTTCATCTTTCTCTTTGGTCAAAAAGCTCAGTTCTTCATTTCCTGTTCCATATTTATTGCTGTTAATGACCTGTTCATTATTATATTGTCCAATTGCCCTTGGCATATGGTGACAGGTGTACACAATATCTCCAAGGGCCTTTGTCATCAAATTGGATCTTACAAACTCAAGATCATGGCTTCTTTTAGTAATTCAGCCTGCAAAGCCTTCCATTTCCCCCACACTTTTTGTCTTTTTCAAGGAGTCATGCCACATCAAGATATGCCCAAAATACAATAGCTTCAGTGTAGTTGTGTTGTCAAAGGCTTTCATGGCTGGAATCACTGGGTTGCTGTGAGTTATAGTTGCTTGACTATAATACCCATTTTAACGAACTAGCCAAAATATAAAAAATATTTAACTATTTCATTCACTTTTAAGTTTTTAGTAAATTTTCTGTGATTACTTTTGTTTCCTTAATATTCAATTGTAATGCTGATTCTGAACTTCCATCCCCAGCTGTCATTAGTTCCAAATCTTCTTAATTGTCTGTTAATAATATGGTGTTGTCCAAATATCTTAATGTTTCTTATTCTAGTTTGCATACTTTCTGGTCTAATCTCTTCCATATGATATGATTTACATGGAAATTTAAAAAATGAGGTGATAAAGTACAGCCTTTTCAGATGCCCTTGCCAGCTGGAAACCATTCATTTTTAACCATTAATGGCTTTGATTTTGCCAACAGAATTGAGTTTTTCTGTCTTATGTTTTCTATTATGTAAACTATTTCAATTTTATATTGGTCACTTGGTGACATTAAGTATATATACAGTCTGTTTGGCTGGATGAATAATGTATTTGCAATGACAAGACTGCTGGGGTGACAAAATGCCTTCGACAATACCTTAAAATGTATAAAGTCACCTTCCTACTCCATTGCTAGACTTTAGGTCATATTCTCCAACGCTATTTAGTTCTGCACTGTTTCATACTTTCACATCACAGTGGCCTATAATTATTAGCATATCCTGATTTAGTGTGTAATCAGTTTTTCCTGAATTGCAGAATTTCATCAGTTTCTTAACTTTCTGTCTCTACTTTAACACATGAACTTGAATTATGGCTTTTCCTGAAATCTTACTGGTACAGTTTAGTCAGACTTCACATTATATCCCCTAACTGCTTTTACTACATGTTTCATCGTGCATAATGTTACCCTATTTCTTCTTTATATGTACGAGCATTTCCAGAGTATCAAATAAAATCATTTATTTCGGTCATAGACCAGCACAGAATTTCCAGAGTAAAATGTGATGGAATATATCTGTTTGAAAATGTCCCACTCTTGTTCACTTTAGTTCACATACACCGAGTATTGCTATACAGTATTTTCTTATTCTGTTTCTTGGTTTATAATTTCTATCTTCCCCCTTACTTATGATTCTCACATTCTATTTTCCTCATGTATTCATTGTGTATATTTGGTTTGATTCCAGTTGGTATCTCTAGACCGAGCATTATTTGTATCCTATCCCGTTAGATACCTTCCAACTTGAGGTTCTTATCTTCCAGCAGTATGCCTTGAAACATTTTGGATTGTCTCATCATAGAGATTTTCAAGTATCATAGAATCATAGAATCATAGAATCAAAGAGTTGGAAGAGACCTCATGGGCCATCCAGTCCAACCCCCTGCCAAGAAGCAGGAATATTGCATTCAAATAACCCCTGACAGATGGCCATCCAGCCTCTGCTTAAAAGCTTCCAAAGAAGGAGCCTCCACCACACTCTGGGGCAGAGAGTTCCACTGCTGAACGGCTCTCACAGTCAGGAAGTTCTTCCTAATGTTCAGATGGAATCTCCTCTCTTGTAGTTTGAAGCCATTGTTCCGCGTCCTAGTCTCCAAGGAAGCAGAAAACAAGCTTGCTCCCTCCCTGTGGCTTCCTCTCACATATTTATACATGGCTATCATATCTCCTCTCAGCCTTCTCTTCTTCAGGCTAAACATGCCCAGTAGCAAACAATGCACAAGTATCTATAATGACATAGAACAGAAATATATGTATGTAAATCTAAATAGACTCTCAAGACAGTAATATACAGCAGTATTCTGTGTTCTCTATTAGTATAACTTGTCTGAGAATTTATACATAAAACAAAATTGTTATCAGCACATTATTATAGAGAAATAAACAACAGACTAAAGATAATAAAGTCCATCCTTTCAGTGAAGGAATTAAAAGGTCTCTATCTTTATCTTCAAAAGAATTCTTCTTTTGGCAAGATAGTCTCAAGGAATTCTTCTTTAAGCAACACAGTCTTTCTAGGCAACAAAATCTCAGTCTCAAGGAATTCTTCTTAGGTAACACAATCTTTCATAGGCAACAAAATCAACAAGGTCTTCCGGTTTGTTATCCTTGTTTCGAACAAATATCTTCCTCAGGGTGTAGTCTGTTATAATATTATGCTTAGTGCACTAAATAGGGAGAAGAAATAACATACACAATAGATACATGAAACTCCCAAAATAACATTGTTAGAGAAACATTTAGTAATAACAGTAAAGAAACACGCTACCCTACTTACATTCTCTTCAGCAATACAGGCTCTGTAATAGTAGGAGTTCTATAACGAGCAATGAGGTAAGGATTGGCTAACACTTAAGTAGAATTACATCTCACAAGAAACAAGTGTATTCAATTTTGTCATTTAGTCCTAGAGGAACCAGTGTTTGTAGTTTAAAGATCCAATAAGATTCCCTTTGCAGAAGGAGTTTTTTTACATCCGCATTTGGTCTGGGTAATATTTTTTCCAAAGCGCAAAATTTAAAACTATGGTGTGTGTGTGCTTTTTCATTAAAATGTACATATAGTGAAGAGTCAGTGGACCCATTCCTTATGCGTGACCGATGTTCATTTATCCTAATTTTAAGGGGTCTAGTAGTTATACCCACATATAATAATTTGCAGGGGCATTCTAATAGATATACTACATTATCACTGGAACATGTTGTCAAATGTTGTAATGTGACCTTGATATTGAGTGTAGGGTGAGAGTATATTTTACTCTTAAGTGATTGTTGGCAGCAGTTACAATGTCCACAGCTAGTGTGCCCCCTAGTGGTGGGTTCATGAGATGTATTAGGAGATTTAATGGCACTTATCATCCAGAAAGCTAATTCCCTGTCTGTGGAATATGAGGGTAAACTTACTACTCTAACAGAGGACATAAATAAAGTAGAACAAAACCAGTCTCATTTACAAGAAATTGATAAGAAATGTAAAGACCTTTACTTACAAATTAAGGAATTTAAAATTAAAAAGTTTAATAGAGACAGAGCTGATTATGATAATAATAAGGTCTATAATTGGAAAACCCGTTCTACTTCCTCTGGGACAGTAAAAAGGAGGGTTCGCTTTGAAACAGATTCTCTTGACCCTTATTCCACCACTGAAGAAGACCCAGGGAAATCTACGGATAGTTCTACTACTTCCACTAGTCCTATACTACCACGACGATCATATAGAATTAAATCCAGACCACCCACTCACCATTTTCAGAGGGGTTCATACAGAAAAGCTCCTCCCTAGTGGTAAATCTTTCTAACTACCCCCTCTCTCCTCAAGAGGAAGAATTAATTAATAAGGGACTAAGTTTTGTTCCCACCCCCAGATATAGTCCTTTCCACACCAGGGTGGAATTATTTAAGTTATTTAGAACTATTAGGTTAAAACATTTTTTTGGCAATAAGACGAATTCCAAGCCTGAAACCTTGTTCAAACCTAAAAACACATTCTACCCTAACACTGATAATATGATGATTAAAACATTTGAAAAAGTGGTGGAACGAGACATCAGTAGACTAACTAAATCCAGGTCCAAAACCTTTCCTAATATGTCTATGACCGAATTGAATACCATTAAAAGACTAGCAAACATGCCACAATATATTTGGAAACCAGCAGATAAGGGAGGGGCGGTGGTATTATTAAACAGAATTGACTATGTCAGGGAAGTGGAAAGACATCTGTCTAATAACATGTTTTACAAATGTATCCCTATGGATCCCATTAATAAAATCAGATCCCTTATACGCACAGTATGTGCTGAAGGTCTCTCACTGGGATATATTTCATTACAGACATATGAGTTCCTTCAGAATCCACACCCCAGAACACCGGTATTTTATGTTCTCCCGAAGATACATAAAAGAATCTTTCCTCCACCAGGTAGACCTATTGTTTCAGGCACTGCATCTATTTTGGAACCTTTAGCTCAGTTTATTGACCATTTTTTGCAACCCTTTGTACCATTAAATACATCATTTATCAAAGACACCAAACATTTTATCAATATAATAGAAGCCCTAACTATACCAGAGCAAGCCATACTCATGACCTTAGATATTGAAGCCCTATATACAAATATACCTTTAGATGAGGCCAGAGCAGTAGTTAAAGATATACTTGACACACGCAAATCCCCAGTTCCTCCCACCCACTTCCTCATGGATTTACTAGACATTGTGCTAGAATACAACTATTTTAGTTTTGATAAACAATTTTACTTACAAACATTTGGAATCGCTATGGGCAGCCCACTAGCACCCGCAATAGCCAACTTATTTGTTGCATACTTAGAAAATAAATTCATCTTTAATACTAATAACAATCCATTTTCTTCAGATATCCTTTATTTTGGAAGGTATCTAGATGATATATTTACAGTAGTGAGATCACAGTCAGCGGCTGACCTATTCTACAGCTGGATTAATACATTACACAAACACATGAAATTTACACACCACTGTAGCCCTACTAATGTTAACTTTTTGGATGTCATGGTTTTCAAAAATGGTCAGAAACTACTAGTGAAAAATTATAGTAAACCTACAGATAAGAATTCTTTCTTACATTTCTCCAGCTTTCATCACTTTTCTCTTAAATCCAATTTACCATTTTCTCAGTTTCTAAGACTGAAACGTAATTCTAGCACACAAAAGGACTTTGAATTTACGGCAGGTATCCTGAAAAAACAACTCAGAGAGAGAGGATACCCTAATAGGATACTCAACACAGCCATGAGCAAGGCAAACTCCATCAATAGAGGGGAATTACTACAGGAACGTCCTAGAAAACATAACAACCACATAATATGGCCCTTGACATTGACACAAAATTCATCCAAAATCACTAGGATTATTTCAAAACACTGGCATTTACTACAGGACATTCCTGGATGCAAAGACAAACCTATTATTGCCCACAAAAGATCCAGAAATTTAAGGGACTTCATGATCCACTCTGAATATAACTCTTCCAGTACATCTCATGAACCCACCACTAGGGGGCACACTAGCTGTGGACATTGTAACTGCTGCCAACAATCACTTAAGAGTAAAATATACTCTCACCCTACACTCAATATCAAGGTCACATTACAACATTTGACAACATGTTCCAGTGATAATGTAGTATATCTATTAGAATGCCCCTGCAAATTATTATATGTGGGTATAACTACTAGACCCCTTAAAATTAGGATAAATGAACATCGGTCACGCATAAGGAATGGGTCCACTGACTCTTCACTATATGTACATTTTAATGAAAAAGCACACACACACCATAGTTTTAAATTTTGCGCTTTGGAAAAAATATTACCCAGACCAAATGCGGATGTAAAAAAACTCCTTCTGCAAAGGGAATCTTATTGGATCTTTAAACTACAAACACTGGTTCCTCTAGGACTAAATGACAAAATTGAATACACTTGTTTCTTGTGAGATGTAATTCTACTTAAGTGTTAGCCAATCCTTACCTCATTGCTCGTTATAGAACTCCTACTATTACAGAGCCTGTATTGCTGAAGAGAATGTAAGTAGGGTAGCGTGTTTCTTTACTGTTATTACTAAATGTTTCTCTAACAATGTTATTTTGGGAGTTTCATGTATCTATTGTGTATGTTATTTCTTCTCCCTATTTAGTGCACTAAGCATAATATTATAACAGACTACACCCTGAGGAAGATATTTGTTCGAAACAAGGATAACAAACCGGAAGACCTTGTTGATTTTGTTGCCTATGAAAGATTGTGTTACCTAAGAAGAATTCCTTGAGACTGAGATTTTGTTGCCTAGAAAGACTGTGTTGCTTAAAGAAGAATTCCTTGAGACTATCTTGCCAAAAGAAGAATTCTTTTGAAGATAAAGATAGAGACCTTTTAATTCCTTCACTGTAAGGATGGACTTTATTATCTTTAGTCTGTTGTTTATTTCTCTATAATAATGTGCTGATAACAATTTTGTTTTATGTATAAAATCTCAGACAAGTTATACTAATAGAGAACACAGAATACTGCTGTATATTACTTGCTTGAGAGTCTATTTAGATTTACATACATATATTTCTGTTCTATAAACATGCCCAGCTCTTTAAGCTCCTCATAGGGCTTGTTCTCCAGACCCTTGATCATTTTAGTCGCCCTCCTCTGGACACATTCCAGCTTGTCAATATCTCTCTTGAATTGTGGTGCCCAGAATTGGACACAATATTTCAGGTGTGGTCTAACCAAAGCAGAATAGAGGGGTAGCATTACTTCCCTAGATCTAGACACTATGCTCCTATTGATGCAGGCCAAAATCCCATTGGCTTTTTTTGCCGCCACATCACATTGTTGGCTCATGTTTAACTTGTTGTCCACTGAGGACTCCAAGATCTTTTTCACACGTAAGAGGCATTGAAGTGGCTGTCTTCTTCTGCATAAGAGTTACTACAGTGCCATTGTTGTTATCTCTGATTCTCTTTTGGAACTTTCTGCACCAATGGAAAATTCCCTTCTCTCTCTTTGTTTAAATAATTTTTTAATTTTTAAATGTATTAAAATTATACATAATTTATAAAATTATTTAATTATTAAATGTATTAAAACTGAGAAAGAGAGCAAAATAAAAGAAAAGAAAACAGAACTGATGGCTGTATCTTAGTGTGGTATCCATATTTCTAGTAATTCGGCTGTCGGTGACTAACTAGGATTCTGTTCTCTTGATCAAGTCTGCTCTCCTGATGGTTCTCTTCCAGTTTTCCTGACATACCCCACTTTTCCCCCATTTCAGCCATAGCAGCAGACATGGGTCTCCCTTCCCCACTTTATTTTTCACGACCCAATAGGATAGGTTAGCCTAAGAGAGTCTGTCTGGGCCAAAGTGAAACATTCAATTTTGTGATTGACTAGAGATTGGATCCAGAGTCTCCCAAATTCTATAATGTAATCACTCTTTAAGTTCCCGTCCAATACTGACATTAGTGGGCTTCTTCTATTTCATCTTTTATACCCATTTCAAAATACACGTAAGTTTCTCTTGGAAAAGTAGGCTGGAAGTAGGATAGGCAAGAATTAAACCCCCAGATTTCATAGCCAATGCTTATTAATTCAGCAAACTTTTTTTGTGATTCAAAAATTTACGGAAGGTCTACATGTGGCACAGATTTCCTCTGTCTTGCTGCTTATGCATGATATAATGTGGAAATTCATTATGCATACAGAAGAGAGAAGAGATATGGTGGGAATCTGAAGAAACTATTCTGACTTGATAAAGCAGCATACCCACATATGCTATTCTGGTTTGATAATCAAAGCAGTATACCCACAGAAGAATTTTTAAAAATTTCTATGTGATGAGAAGTAGCATCTCTCTAGTGATTTCTGTTTAGAAGAAATACATTAGGCATGGGGATTGTGATTTTGCTGAATGTAACTTTAAAAATGCCATGCAGAGAGAAAAACTATTTGTCTTCAATTTTGTACTTTTAGGCATTAAAAGAGAGCTTTATAAAGGCCATTGGCGTTGGAATAGGTTTCAACCTTCAAAGGATTGAATTTCATGTATCCCCAATGCAGTTGGAAGTGGGGAAAACCTATACTGAGACAGTTATGCTCTTGGATGGTGAAGAAGAAAAGGAATGGACCTTTGAGGTAAGGTACCAAACTAAAAACTAGTTACATACATAAATCGATGTATTTCAAAGAATTTGCAGTAGTGTCAATCAGATATTGAACTTGATGACCTTCAGATATTTTGAACTACAGTTCACATCATCTCTGTCTATTGCCCATGTTGGATTGAGATTCTGATCTAGCTTTGGTGCGGAAAGGATTCATGTACTTACCATAAATGCGTTATCAACATCACCCTATTAATTAAAGTGTCCTCTTAAGTTTTGCTTTATCTTGAGTACCAAATAAATTATAAACACTGCTTTCCAAAATCTGTTTAAAGTGATGGATTAGGGCCTGGGTTTAGGTCTTAACCCATGACTTTCAGAATTAGTATGTAATTATATTTTTTGAAGAGTGAAGTACTTTAAAGAAATCCAGCAATGTTTCCAAAGGAAAAAAGGCAATTTAATTCAGTGGAGATGCTTCTATTACCCGTACAAAGTACTAAATTGGTGTGTCCATAAAGCTTTTAATATCTATAGTCCATGTGACCTCTTGCCAACATCACCCGTAAACGAACATTAGGCCTTTGCTGCATTAACTCTTTGAAATGGGAAATTACATTAATGAAAGTCACTGAGATAACCTCTTAACTTTCAATCTATGCTTGATGATATATCAAAGTGTGTTGTGGGGGGGGGGGGGGAATGACCAAAAATAACAAAAGAGGAAAAGAGTGTTCAGTTGTATCCAAATTACAACAAGGCAGGGGCAAATGCTAATGTTTAACCTTCAGCGGTGAGAAGAAAGCTCTTTGTTGAAACACTGGTCTTTATGCCCTGATCCCCTGGAGTCCTAGTAAAATGTACTCTTAACATGTTGTCTTGTGAATTTAGGCAGCAGGCTTCAAGAAATGTTTCTAAAGCCTTTAAAACAAACTTTTCCTCCTTGATTCAAAGTATGTTGTGTCATTTGCCAATATATTCCAGAAACTTAATTTGAGCCCACATTTCAACGGCATAATTGCTAGGGATCTGGGAGATACGAAATGAGCCTGCGGTCCCTATATGTGGCCAAGGGCCATGTGTCACCCACCCAATCTGCACTACAGATACTCATGGTAAGGAGGGAAAAAAGGGAAAGCTGGGGATAAATCAGAATAAGTCAAGATGAACAGACTTTTGTTAAAGAAGCACTTCAATATAAAAGTGTCAACATTGGTGAAAACATTGGCTGTCAAGGTGGCGGAATGACAAGGAGCTGCATGGGAAAAGGAAAGCAGATGGGAATTATTCAAAGCAGTGTCAGTCTGTGTATGAAAACTTGTGCTATAAACACCTCTCAGATAGTCTCAAAGGTTCTACAGCAGGTCTGGGCAAACCCAGGCCTGGGGACCAGATACAGCCCCTTGGGCTCTTTTCTCAGGGCCTCCTCTCTCACACCATCGTATCCTTTGCTTCTCTCTCTCCCTCCCTTCCTTATCTCCCTCTTTCTCCCTCCCTCCCTCCCTCCTTCCTTCCCTCCCAACCTTTCATTCTTCATATTCTCCATCCCTCCTTTCCCCTTTCTCTTTCCCTTTCTCTTTCCCCTTCCTTCCTTCCTTCCTTCCTTCCTTCCTTCCTTCCCTTTTGTCTTCCCTTTCCTCCCTCCCTCAATTCTCTTCCACCCTTCCTTCCTTCTCTTCTGCCCTTCTTTCTCTTTTTTCCTTCCTCCTTTCCTCCTGGGGTATGTTTAGCTGGGAGAAAAGAAGCTAGAGAGGGAACATGACAACATGTTTTGAGATTTAAAAGGGTATCCCAATGAAGAGAAGGAAGAGGAACACTGACTTTCTGCTGCTCTAGAGACCAGGATACAAGGGAGCAATGGTTTCAAATGGCAGGGAAAGAGATTCGATTGATAAATATTAGGAAGAACTTCCCGAGAGTAAGAGCTGTTGCAGAGTGGCATAGGCTGCCTCAGAGTGTGGTGGAATCTCTTTCTCTGGAGGCTTTTCCACAGAGGCTAGCTATTGGGAGTGCTTTTGATTGTGCCTTCTTGCATGGCAGAGGGTTGGGCTGGATCGCTCTTGAGGGTCTCTTCCAGTGCTTGGATTCTAGAATTCTATATCAGGAGTAGGCAATATGAAGTCTCATGGATACGAAGGCTCATCCTGACCAAGGCCAAGCCTTTTGGGATCCAAACATTTCTGATCTTTCCTTCACTTTCTGCCTCCAAAAGAGAAGAGGAAGGGAGAGAGGGTGGTTGTGGAGAAACCCCTCCCTTCCTCCCGGGCTGCCCACCCCCCACTCTATGCCCACCCTGCTATGTGTCCCCCAAGTTGCCCATGCCTGTTGTACAGAATGGGCCGGGCTTTAGCACAGTGGGTTAATCACTAAGCTACAATAAATCTTGCCAACTGGAAGGCTGAGAGTTCGAAACCCGTGTCAGGGTGAGCGCCTGACCTTTAGCCCAGCTTCTGCCTACCTAGAAGTTTGAAAACATGTGAATAGCTAAATAGGAACCACATTAAAGTGCGGAGGTATTTAGGCATGGCATTTTGATCAGAAAAAGGAGGAAGTTTACAAACAAAGAAAGCTCTTCAGCAAGGAGATTGAGCGACAGAATCCCCCTGTGGCTGGAACCGAGCACAGCCTCCAAATATGTCAAAATATGCAAAAAGCCTATATATAGCTCTGTCTGTTGTCTGTCTTGTCATTGTATAATCAGTGTTAAATGTTTGCCATATATGTGTTCTGTGATCCACCCTGAGTCCCTTTCGGGGTGAGAAGGGCGGACTATAAATACTGTAAATAAATAAATAAATAAATAAATAAATAAATAAATGTTGTAATGTAGCAAATAGCCAGCCTTCTAAGGGAGTGACCTGAGGAGTAGCAGTCATGGAGAAGAATTGAATCAGATAAAAGTTTTAAAGGGCCCTTTATATAAAAAAGGAATTTATAGTCTCTGTCCTCTATTAGTGAGCCTTAGAAGTTTAAATCACTGTGGAGGTGGGCAGAAACACCATAGCTTCATGCAGGCCTAGTGTGTTTACAGTCATCCCTTCACATTTGTGTGTTTGGCTTTTGCACATTGATTATTTACACTTTTAATTAAAATGTTCTCTTTAGGTATCTCTATGTGCCCCTCTGCAACTCTGTGCTCGACTTCCTTTGGAGATTTAGCATGGCATCACATTGGAGGACCTAGAGATTTCTAGGCAAAACACCTTTCTAGAAAGCTCTGGGTCCTTCAGTACAATTCAACTTCCTTTGTAAGAGGCTCATAGAGATTTGCTGGAGGACCAAGAGATTCCTAGACAGATGTTCTCTCATGCCAAAAACAAAAAGCAAATTTTAATTTGTGTTTTTTTTTTACTTTCACTGAGGGTCTTTTGCCCCTAACCCCAGCAAATGGAGAGGACTGACTCCTCTGATTACCATTTAAGTAGCATACAGAATGGAGTTATATTGTACCAGATATATTTGGGGAAATTTGAAACAGCAACTGTACATAGCTACTTGGTACTTCTCCAAGTTTCAGGATGGGATTCCTTTGTTTTTAAGGGGATTCAGGGCAAGTCTCAGGTATTGGTCAGATGTTCAGCTGCCTGAAGATATTAAGTGGCATCACGAGCCCTGGAAAAGAACTTGGTTTTTTCAAACTGATTTTCCATCCCTTCAGGAAATTGTTCTGACTCATTGTAGAAAGCTTTTGTTAAATGAGTGGTTATCTTTCAACTTATTGGTTTGCCTCAACATCAAACTTTCTGAAGCATTGAGCAACAACATCAGGAAGGTTAGTGATCCTGTAGGTTCTTGCTTCTACTACCTTGATATTTCAAAGCAATATCAAATTAAGGAAGACTTCCATGGTGAACTTATTATTTTATTTACTAACCAGGAAACCCGATTAGATGATTATCACCATGTTGCAGTTGCTCTAGGAAAACCAAGAGGGTGTGGCAAGAAGCATAGTGAGGTAAGATGATTCTTGTAACGTTTATAAAAGTTTTTGTACTCTGCAAAGATCTCAAACTGGCATGTGTGTGAGAAAGAGGGGAAAATAGGGAAAGAGTGTGAGGACAAATGTGTGTATTGTGCTTTGCATCCCAATAAATGAAAGCATATCAATGTATTGTCGAAGGCTTATCAGTTGATTGCAGAAATCCTTGTCACCTCTGGAAAGAAGGAAAGTTTTTAGCAAAGGCTGCTTCACTGGCATTCAGTAGTGCACTGGCTCATGTGTTTTGAGCTCTATATCAGACTTCTAGAATAGGCATTTGGTACTTGTGAAGGTACCACTCTGATGGCCGAAAGCGGTGAAGGTCTTGGGAACATTGTCTACAATCAAAACAATACCAGTCCTTTCCAGAAACTGCATTTAAAAAGCTTTAGATGTTTCTAAAACAAGATTTGGGAGAACCCCTGGCTTGTTTTAGTGATGAACCACAACACCTGAGGGCAGTGCAAAAATGAATAAAAATTGTGGTAACTAGAGGCAAATCAATTGATTTTATTCAGTGATATGGAGAGGGGTTTTCAGCTTTGTCAGAAATTGCTACTGAGTGTGCACCCTCCGAAGAACTCCAATCAATAGTATAGACTAGGGCTAAACTATGTTGGTTTTTCAAAAAATGACACAAGTCAAACAAAAAGCAACTGTTTGAAGAATGAAATACAACCATCAATAAGCACATCAAGACCCATTTCTTCTTTTGTCTGTGGATTATTAAGTTTAGAAAAACTCAATGCTTCATTGTCTTTACTCACGCCTAGTTTTTTCATAAAGCTCAAACTCGTAAGGGATCCTTTAGACAGTGGTTTCCTACTGAATCAAGCCATGTATTTCTTTCTCTATATATTTTTTAGTTTCATCACATATTGATCCCATTCCATCTGAATAGCTTTTGTTCTTGAAGGTTGTAACAATTTGTGCAAAAAAATTAATCAGGCATGTCCAAAGACTGATAATCTAATATGATTCCACAAGAATGTGAGTGTATATTATTTATCTTATGGTTTTTTATACTTATTATCGATGTATTTGGATTGTTGTTTACATAATTTTAATACTTTGTAAGCCGCTTTGGGTCCCGTGATGTTTGATACGTTTTAATCATTTGAAAGACTATTTTTAATTGATATGTATGTCTTTTTTACAGTTTTATAATATTATGTTTTAGTAATATTGTTATTGTCCGAATCTGGCATTGAAATTTTGCCATAGTTTGTAAGCCACCCTGAGTCCCCCTTCGGGGTGGGAAGGGCGGGGTATAACTACAAGAAGTAAGTAAAAAAATGATTGAAACAATAAATAAAGTGGGATATACATTATTATTATTATTATTATTATTATTATTATTATTATTATTATTATGACAGCAAGGAATGGGCTTTTATAAATAAATCGTTCAACATTTGAATACCTTGTGACACATCTCCTATTTTGTACTGATTATATTAGATGTTCCCAAGTTTTGTTTCTACCATATTAGATTCGACAGGTAAAGAGACAGGGCTTCTGTCCTCTAATGCGGTATTCCCAGACTTTGGCCTTCCAACTGCTTTGGACTTCAGTTCCCAGCAGCCTTGACCACTTTGGTCAATGGTAAGAGATTTTGGGAGCTGAAATCACTGCTCTTGTGACTGTATAGAAGAGCTAATTTCTATACAGTCTGTGTTACATTTGTATATCAGATGTACAAAACATTCCCCTTTCACCCAAAAAGAATAGAGGAAACCATCAAAATAAAAATTGGTCAGAATGGGGATGAAAATGGCTCTTCCCTTTATTGGTGTCTCAGAACCTTAGAGGCTTCATCAAACATAAACATACTTTCTAATCCTGGAAATGCTTATCTTTCCCTGCCTTAGCTCTTCCAAGTGTAAAATAATCACTTCTTTCTAGATGTGACCAACATGTAGATATAATTCCAGTCTCATTCTTCAGTCGTAAAATCATTCTCTATTCTTGCCAGATTCTAACCATTCTGCTTTCTTTACAGGTGCTTTCCACTGATGTGACCCAGCCTGCATTTACAGGACTGACTTTTGAAGATTTAGTGGCCTCTGCTGTTCCCCTCACACCTGAAGACCCTACCTGCTGGGATCACTTTTGTTCTAGGCAGGAATCACCAGCACGACAGAGTTCTAATCCAAGATAAGCGAAGCTTTATTTATAAGAAAAGAAGTTGAAAGCACTCAAAGGCCTCCCACTGCTGCACTTCGGAGAGTCAATTTGTGTAGGAAAGGAAGGGGGTAATGCTTGGATTAAAATTGTTTAAAATTACCTTTTATGTTCAGTAATTTGGCTCTTCTTTATGGACTAATTTCCTTTTCAAACATTCCCCCACCCTCCGGAGTAAATTCAGAGAAAGATGTGGATTTTTTTTTGCTCCTTGAGCCAAGCATGCATAATTATCAGGCTACAGAGTTCCTCTCTATAATGAAAGAGCTGGCATAACCCTGCCTTGTGCCAGACATTTCCTGTAATACCTGCCATGAGGAATTCACATCTATGGCTTTTGAAGCAACAATCCTTTTCATGAAGTCTTTCACCTGTTCCAAGCAATCGTATATTTGGCAGTACCCAAGAAGGCTTCATGTCGTTATGGGAGCTGCATAGAAGAATAATATAGGCCCAGTGCTCCACAAGAAGAAAGTCATGGTGCATAATGAACAGGATTTTTATTTCTTTGGGAGGTAATGTACCACTTCTGGCTTAAAATTGTTGCATCTCAAATTGCCCCACTGCTATCACCATCTCAATTATGAGACATGTTTTAAAAGAGAAACCTTTTTCTCATAGTACCTGGCTGTGTTTAAAATCTCCAGGAAGATAAAGGAGTTCTCTACTGGCACCTAAAAAACAGAAATAAAGGCGAACAGATTACTGATGATGTTTGAATCGCCAGATCTGTGTGTGGGGGTCTGCATGTTTGAATAATAATCAGTTTGTCTGGGTGGGAGCCACTGACAGATGCAGGAGACATAAAAAGGAAGTGGAGAAAAATCTAGCAGTAAGAGAGTAAATGGAGCTTCAAAGAACTAGGGGATGACAAGAGTAATGTCAAGACATTCCAGGAAGATGCGGGGTTAATGTGCCACTTAGCCAAGTGTTGCAGTCTCCTCATCTGGAGGAGTTTAATTTTTTTTTCCAAAATGAAATCCAGATGTGTATCTGAAAGATACAGCTTATATCTGGGAGGTTCTAGATATGTCTGTTGTAGAAGAGCCTTCAGAATATTTAGTCTTCGTATTTATTTTATCTATCGTATCAGAAGCAAACTAAGGGTACGGTTGTAATGTATTTAAGAAACATAATGTTTAAAAACTTGACCCAGAAGTTCCTTCCCATTTATTTCCTGTTTTTAAAGGCCTTTATTGGGTCAACAATGGCCTAGGGGGATACCAAAGTATGGCATTAAAGCTGTGATGTTTCTGCGTAATTGTGGGGGGGGGGGGGGGGAGAGAGACACCAGATATTCCCCACCCTGGGCTATGAGTTTGATTTGACTCAGAACAAGATCCAGGGTTTAGGATTTTTCTATTCCAGGTGTATAAGTTGAATTTTGACTGTCACACTTCACATCTGTTCTTTAAAATCAATGGCATTTAATATAATCATGGTGAGTCTTGGGGTTCTGGTGAAACCCAAGTATACATTAGTGGGTCTTGGGGTTTTGGTAAAGCCCAGATGGAACTTCATAGAACTTCACAATGCCATGGACTTTTAGCAAAGTTGGAGAACAGGAGCTAGTAGTGTATGGTATTGTGAAGTTCCAATTTTTATATTATTGAAACTTGCCAATATAACTGGATATAGAATGGACTTCATACAGAAGCATTACATTTGAGACATTTCCCAGGAGAACCTTATCTTCTTAGCTAAATTTTCTAAGTCGCTGTGATTGTGTTGCTTCTTGAAAACCTTGTGAAGATCTTTAGCTTCTCTTATTGTACACATTGATTATTAAAACCATAAAGCAATGAAGCTGCAAATCTCTTCTTAGTACATTACAGCAGTTAAGCTGGAAGATTCTACAACTCTAAATTCAAAATTATACCAATATAGAATAGCCCTCATGAGATTTCTTGGTTCAAAATTTATTCATAGTGAAGCACATTGACTGGGGAATTGGCCTTTTAATATATGTTACTTATTGTCGTAGTATCTTTAATACTATTGCAACACATTATTTGCTCTTTGTAAAAGCTTACTTAAAAAAACAACAACAACTAACTACAGAAATATCAACTTACCTGCACAGCCAGAGTCTTCTTTCCAGAGACAATTGTTACCTTTTTTCTCTGGTGTTCTGCATCGCATGGCTGTGTATACAGGACCAACCCCTTGGTTCATTTCCTCTGATAACCAGGAAAAACCTCTCTGTTCAATTCAACTTACATTGCATTTGTTATACTTTTTGATCAATTTCTTGTACTTATATGTTTTTCTGTCTCTTTTCACACTTATCTTTTCCCTGGCTCCACTTGTTTCTTCTCCTTGAGTCTCTGGTCTTCTTTTTATCTTTGCAGTTGGTGGATTCTGGACTGTTTTTATTGGCAGTGTGGGGTTGTTAGAGCTAACCCTGGCAGATCCATAATGTGTAAGCCATCAATTGTTGTTCCGATGCATTAGAGTAAAATATTATTGGACAAAAAATAGCCTTCACCCACAACACTTTTCAGTAATGTAAAGATATTCCCTTTCATCCAGTCAGCTATTGCTATAGCTCCAAACCTTGACCAGGAGAGCTCTCCCAAGAGTAAACCTTGACCAATCAATATAACAACTGTGGAACTCATTTTTATTCACTTTCAAGTGAATCAGGGCTGGAGAAATAGATGAGTAATAGATTGATTTGTGGGGAGGAGATACAGTAATAAAGGATTTTCTTTACTAATGCACAGAAACTGCATCAAAATGCCACCACCATTTAGAGCAGTGGTTCTCAGCCTGTGAGTCCTCAGATGTTTTGGCCTTCAACTCCCAGAAATCCTAACAGCCGGGTAAACTGGCTGAGATTTCTGGGAGTTGTCGGTCAAAACACCTGGGGACCCACAGGTTGAGAGCTACTGATTTACAGGGATCACATTTCTGTCAAGAGCTTCTAGAGGAAACCATTTAATCCACAGTATAGCCATTTCCTGAAGCAGGCCATTGCTTTTCTGATGCAGCCCATTCTACTCAATGGACTCTCTAAAGCAGTGTTAGACCCAATTAATTCTAGTTTCACAGTTACTGCTGCTTTTTAGTGAGGAGTTATTTTTTCACCATTTGAAATCCATTATTCTAGTAGTTTCTTATTGAGAGGATCCTAGAATAACTAGGGCTTCAAGGTGTGGAGTAAACTCAAAATATGTTTTAAATTTAATTCAGAACAAATTAATTGGTGTCTAATCCAAGTTATATCTACCCCCCCCCCCCCCCCCCCCCCCCCCCCCCCCCCACTGATTCTCAGGAATAGCCTTAAAGGCAGGCTTCCCTTAGCATTCATTACTTTAAAGCAGTGGTTCTTAAAGTGTGCTCCGCAGAGCCCTTGGGGCTCCATGAAGCATACTAACAGGCTCTGTGGTTCCCTTCCCCCCAGTTTCTCCTCTTTCCTGCTTCTAGGGAGCACCACCTCTCTTTCTGCTCAGATCATTTACCCCATCACCTTCCTTCCCTCCCAGCACTAAGGGGTGCTTTGATTGTGCTTTTCCTGCATGGCAGAAGGGAGTTGACCTGGATGGCCCTGGGTCTTCCACTGAAATACTGTCAAGTTTATATTGGTTCCAATTGTTCTTCAAAACTTTTCCCATGCCTGATATATATACATTATATACAGTATAATATATAAACATTTCTTGGGACTTCACAATAAACTTATGCTTCAAAAAGGGCTCCGCAGCTGGAAAAAAAACAAACCCCTGAAATCCCCTGTTTTAAAGGGTTCTGCACAATCTTTTCTAGAGCCAGATCTGAAATACAGGGTGAGGCAGCATAACTTCCTTTTTTCAAAACTTAATAAAACCCATTGTATGAATCAGAAATTTTTTTATAATGTAGGCGCATATGTAAAGTTCCAGTTAGGTAGGTGACGTCCCCCATTCTCCATACACTGAGTAAACCGATTTCTGGCGTTTCTCATGACTCTTGCCAGCATAGCAGGCATTATGTTGGCATTTTCTTTCTGGATGTTGGTTTTCAAATCTTGTAGGGTCCTTGGATGGTTCACATAAACACAGGATTTCAAAAAGCCCCATAGAAAAAAAATCACAAGGAGCCAAATCTGGAGAGCGGGCCAGCCACTCCAAATCCACTCGAAAAGTAAGCCTCAACGTCAAAAGCATGCTCCTCACTGTTCCAACGCATGATGGCGACTGAACTGTGTCAGGACAAAACTTTATACTCCCGCCTCTCGAACGAGACCTGAAACCCCTAATAGAGCTGGAGTCCCATAGTTCCAGCAAGGTTTCCTTTTCCATTGGTTAGCACAAGAAAATCACGCCAAGTCTAAGGTATTTTTTCAGTCCTTGTTTTACTTGTGCTGAAAGCAGAATCATCTTTTCCATTTTACAGTAGTCAATACTGAATGCAGCACTTTGCAATAATGGTTTTTATAAAATATATATATATATCAAAATGAGCATTTCCTCTATAATTTTAAGTGGCCATGGTGTGCACTTATGGACAGCTGAAAATCACGTCTCTCATTCTGTGTATATGCCTCCAATTCACCTCCTAACTTGCAGTGACCCAATGAATCTTATAGTTTTCCTAGGCAATGAATACTCAGATATGGTCTTGCTCAATATAGCCTACAGCACCCAGTGCTCGTTGGTTATCTCCCATCCAAGCACTATTCAGGATCAGACAGAATTTGGTACCTTTAGGATATTGGGCAGAATCTCATATTACTCTGAAACTATTTTTATTGTGGAACAATGCGGTAAAAAAGGGCTGATTTTGATAAGCTATGGAAACCAATCTCCTGCAAATGGAAGCTTTGGTATTAGATTAAATGAGCAGGAAAGAAAAAGTCAGCCCAAGCATATGATTTTCTCAGTTTTAATGAAGTTTGAAGCTTTAATGCTCTTGAGAAAGGGTATCACACCCTAGGGGACCTTTTTTTTTTTTTTTTTGCAAAAGGAATCACATTACTGTCTTCCAGCAGAAACCCAATTTTGAGGAATCTACCCAATGCATTCTGATATGATCTACAGTGTCAGTTATAGAAATTTGAATAACTGAGAAGTGTGTGTGTGTAAATATGTATTTTAAGGTGTGCATATAGAATCAGAATTGCAAGTGTTCATAAGGTCCATCCAATCCAATCTCCTGCCATATAGGAGTAGATCCACATTTAGTCATTCTTAGAGAGGCCACTGAAATCAATATGACTCATGTTAATCATAATTAAATTTCAAAGTAGGTTCTGTTAAAATGGATGGATAAACTTACTTAGTCAATCCCTTGTTGTCCGAGTAAGATTGTCCTCCAAGTTCGGTGTCCTGTCGGTGGGTACATAGGTGACTGTGGAGCCCTATTCTTGACCTGCATGTTCTCCCGCAGTGAGGGCATCGGTATCCAAGTGGAAGGCGGTCCCGGTCAGGGTTGGGTTGATGTTCCTTCTTCTTGGCACATTTCTCTCTTTCACCCTCCATTCGTGCCTCTTCAAATCTTACAGCACTGCTGGTCACAGCTGACCTCCATCTAGAGTGCTCAAGGGCCAGGGCTTCCCAGTTCTTGGTGTCTATGCCACAGTTTTTAAGGTTGGTTTTGAGCCCATCTTTAAAACTCTTTTCCTTTCCTCCAACATTGCGATTTCCATTCTTGAGTTCAGAGCAGGGTAATGCTTTGGGAGAGAGTGATCAGGCACTCAGATAAATGGCCGGTCCAGCGGAGTTTATG